GCAATGTAGCACACACTTGCTTTCCGCCTACTTAACAAGAAAAGTTGTCACCTTCTTTTCGGTTCCGTATGAACAAATGTTCTGCTTCATTTATGAGGGACTGTAAAAGATAAGTTTAAAAGTAAGCTTACACCCACGATCTTAACCCTACTGCCTTCACACTTTACTGACACCAACATTCATCTTCTAGTTTCACTTCACTCAATTACCTCTCATCAGCACCATCAAAAAATCGACGATATTCTATCACAACAGAAACCACCACTACAAGCCACCTTATCAATGCAAAACAACATCGAAAGCCAAATTCAAACCTTACATGTATTAATGATTTCCTTATGCGAAACCAGCTCACCGAGTGTCGCTGGCCGATATTTTTCCACCCACGGCAAATTGCCATCCTCAACTGTATCGTTTACAACCATTTACACGCCTCGTTGTTTCGAACAAGATTACTACTAAAGACATAAATCTCATTCACAATTTTCAGCACCAAACGTTCCCCGTCCAAACAGCAACTCTCACAACACAGTATTTGAATACACATCAAATGGTTCGTTCATGTTAATCTTGCAGATACTTCTCACAATCATGTGGCGGATACATCGTCATATGAACGACTCAACGTTGAGACAACAAGCACTCCTCACATCGGATATGATCGTTGCAAATACCGATTCCCTTTGAGTATTCATCAATTTTATCAGCATTCATAAACAATAATATCAAAATCACCGGCATCCATACATCATCCATTAAAAAGGTCTAATAATATACATTACAAAACGAAACGTTTACCACTGAACAGTCTCATCGCGAGCAAATGTACGAAACATTTACTATATAATATCACGAACACATAAACGTTTCAATTTACACACAGAAATTTCAGGTATTATACCTCACAACTATCCAAAATTATCATAGAAAAACTATCGAATAGCACAGTTATGAATGCAAGCTTATGAACAACAGCATTTAAAAATTTAAAACTGAGATTTTAAAACCACAGCAAGATTCTTCGATCAAAAATACGTCATCATTGAAGCAAAATGCCTTCCAACATCGTAAATTGAATGTTTCTAACATTCTAACAGCATGATTGAGAATTACCTCAAACTTTTACCATGATTTCCATTTCTAATATATGAAAATAACAAAAATTCTCCAAGAAAACTGGAATTCCACTAACAAACTCCTGGATTTGCTAACAATACGCAAAAAAATTCAAATAAAGCGAAAAAATCTCACGTAAGAAGGGAGAAGAATGAGACGAAACAGTTTCCTGTCTGAGGTCAAAAAATTGTGATTGTTGGGAATAACGTAGGACGCGAACATAAAACGGTAGCAATTCACTAGGGAATGAATCGAGTACAGGAGGAAGTTCACAATCCAAATGCTGTTTTCAACAAAATCAATTCAAAAAACATCAGATAAAATAAAACACTGAGAATTACATCTCAATTAATCTTCGTTTGATCAGCTGTTTCAAGCAGATTCTGGTTGATGAGTGCTGACGAGTTCAGCATCGGATTGACCTGGAACAGTTTTCTTTCGTGACTCGAATATGTTCGGATTGAAGTTTCCATATGCCAGAGCTCCTCCGGCCAGAACACAAACCGTGAAGAACTGCGCCGCAACTCGACCTCGCATGTACAGTTGGGCTCGGTACATGTTTCTTTTCAACGTGGCACGACACATTCCAATCAAACAACCCACTGTAGCTAACATTCCTGAAAATTCACAACACTATCAAAATTATTAATACTGCAATTATTAATAACATTGCAATTATTAATTACTGGCAATAACTCCATCATTTGATAACTATTCAGTTGTAACAATTATCGTGTAGAACAGAGGTTTTCACAAAGAAACGAAGGGAATAGAGGAGGGGAATGTAGTGGTTGGCAAACCGTGATTGATACTCAACAGATTTGTACGAGAACACAGCCAAAATCAAACAGAAACAAACTGAGTGTAATAAAACTCACCCAACGGTACCAACGGATTGTTCAATGCATTACGCCATACACTCCCCTCCGTCACCATACCATTTTCTCCAACTCCTCGAACGTACTCCCGTGGTATCATCGGTATGGCACTGAATGACAAGTTGTCGTTGCGACGTACCTCTTCAACTCTCCATTGCATGTTTCTTCGCTCGGTCGATGGAACATTTTCTGGAGATCTCGACATTCTGTGATAGCCTTAAAATGTCGAATAAATTATACTCTTACTATTGTCTCAAAACCACTTTTTCAGTGTAAAAATTGCACTGAAACAGAAAGACAAGCTACTCGCGCGCATCAAACTTAGAGACCAGAATCCAAGTAAAATATCACGAAGGACTGTGCCTAGGGTTCGATCGATACCGGGCTGAGATTATCACCACTTCACCAAACTAATGAGGATATTAAAAATTGGAACGTTAAAAGATATGCGACATTCAACAACGGTAATGCCAAATACGAAGGGTACATACAATATTTGCAGAATACAGTTCCATGACCAACGAAATAACGAATATGCCTTCCTGTAACCGCAAGCAATAAGCCTGAACCACAGAAAAAAAATTCCAGATTACAAAGTTGGATTTTAAGATTTCAAAGTTATTCACCGATCACGAGAGGTTCGCAACAAACAAATTTCCCAACAAGAGGTGCGGCTCTCGCCCGCCAAATCAAATCAAACGCATTCCAGTTACAAAACTTGCGACCTGGCTATTTTCTTCAAGGGAGACAAAACAGTGTAAAAGAAACATTTCGGAGAATTCCCATATCGAAACGGTAATTTCATTTAGAAGTGTTCAAATCTCATGAAGTCACGATACTAAACGTTTAGTGATTCGCGATTATTGCAACAAATTCCCATTTGAGTATGTCTTTTGTAAATTATTAATGCATACTGAAAAAAATGTACACGAAAATTTGAATCTCCGAATCCAAAAAAAATCTGAAGATGCGGAAAAAATGTCCTTTTGAGACCATCCAATGAAATACTTGAATAAGTTTGAGACTGTTACAGTATAATAATAAATTGTTGCCAAAATCAAACGTATCCCTTATGAAGGCGATCGACTGAAAATTTTGTGAACAATTAAGAGATGTGCGTGACAAGAATTAGTTTTATTATTAGTTACCAAAAAGGCACTTTTAGAGCGTACACTTGTTGAACTTTCAACTCTGTTCGGTAAAGTGGAAACAACAGTAACGACACTTTGCAAAATACTCAAAAATGTGAGCATAACAAAATTCAATCAAATTACATAGGCAGAACAATAACGAGAGATCATCGTAACAACAATATCAATGATAAACTCTGAATTTCTAACAACAAGCAACAGTAACGATTATAATAACTAATTTTTGTTCAATTATATCAACAACACACAATCAAGTCTATTAATTCATCAGAAATAACGAACGCTTCAAGAACAACATTTCAATACACCACGAAATGTATAAAGAAGAGTAATGGAATGATGAAATTCACTGTGAGCGATTGACTGTGAACAAGAAAATTCGAATGAAGCAATAATACGATTGAGCACCGAATGATCAATTGTTGTTGTCGAGGTTCGATGCAGACACAGCACAGTTCAAGGAGATACTATCAATCAAACGAAGTGTCGTCGAGGCTGGCCATGCTTATAGCACGATATTAACTTCAACTCATTGTACATACCATCCGTTAGACCGTTTTTGTTACAACGCACAACGTACGGTGCATCACGTGCCTTCTGAAATATCTTGCATCTCCTCCATTCATTTTACTTTCTTAGCAACTGCATTCACCAAGTTCTTAGAATCTCAGAATAAACCAAAAAAATTTCAAATGGGAGTGAGAAATATAGAATCAAAATTAGTTGTGAATAAGGAAAGATAACTATAAATCGCTAACAATAAGATCTACTATGGCATCGATAAAAACAAGAATGAAGATGATGCACGAAAATAACAATCGAATAAAAAATAACCTGTTGACTGAGGAATGCGTTTGGAATATCGATATTGGCACCCTTTGAGAATACGTTCACTTCGTTCAGTAACTGTCGATCAACTGGAGTTAATACATAAAATAGACGCTCCTCTATGTCAATCGCACGAATCATACCAAATCCAAAACAACGCAACATTACTTCATTATCAATTATATAGCCTGGCATCGTCTCATCTTCCAGTATATGACGTTTGCCCTGAATTTATTAAAACTGTTGATTTTTGCTACTGAACAATATATCCAACATCAACATATCACAATCTTGAATATATGCCCACTTCTAACCATCACTGAGCACATTCATGTTTAATATATCGTCTGAGTTTATTTCACAATCTAACATGTTAACCAAAAACAGAGTCTGTTTTCTCTATGGTACACGATAGTTTATGACCTCTGTAAACATGTCATACAATATAACCACGAATACAAAGCCTCTATAACCTCTATAACTGTATATATTATACATATGTCTAAAGTGGATACAGATAACTAACGCCAGAACGAATCAGTGTGATCTGTGCAATGACCACAGAGCAAGGATACGCAGCAGTGAAGTCACTTCAACTGCACGCTATCACTATGAAGCAAGCAAATAAAACCGTTGATTTATCAAAAACATTGATAACTGATATTGGAAATGAAAGGATATACATTGAATCCAGTCCGACCTTAATTTGATCGCTATCCCACTGTACTGAACACAACGCAACCAGTGCACAGTTGAGGGCAGCGAAGAGATGTGTCTCGGGAAGTGCGCCCAGCTCTTGATTGAGATGTACGGAGATGCGATCGAATGGAACGGAATATGGCGTGGAGTCACATAAAGATCCCAGCGAAGGAGTTGGACACAACGATGAAATATAACCCAAAATAAGCAAATTGCGCAATGCAGATGGCGTTAAGGTGAGAGGTAATGATAATGAATACCTGAAATGAACTCATATTATAAGACAAGTCATCAACTGCAAGCATTTCTCAACAAATAATAGCTGTTGCACAAGATGGTGCAGCAATCTTTTGAATGAATGAAATGTTGATCGACTTGTTCACACTAAACAGATACCAAACCAATTTATTTTTATTTTCTTAACGAAGTCCTTCTTTTCGATCATCGAAAGATTATTACACAAAATAGATCATAATTCATTTTTTACTCTAAAATTCACAAAATAAAAACTA